TACACTACTCTCTCTCTCTCTCTCTCTCTCTCTCTCTCTCTCTCTCTCTCTCACACATACACACACGCTTTCTCTTTCTCTCTCTTGCGCGCGACTCTTACCACTGTTATTCGCTACAATTATTTACAATGACTGGAACTGTCATTCGAAGAGGGGGTTTTTTATTCCTGAAGGCGTGGGGAGGCGATATCGAAGCGGAAATGACTGAATCCCCAACGCCACCGGATTTTCCTCCTTAACAGAGGTGATAGAATGATTATGGGAAAAGAGAGTACATATATATATGTATGTTCGCGCGGAAACGAACAGCTTCCATTATACAGCGATAGCGAAAAAGTGTTCAGTTACAGCCTACCCTGTTCCTCCATTCAGACATTCACGAAATACAAATACATCATAGAACCCGACGATTTCCTTAAAAACGCACGCCTTTAGAGCGTCGCAATAAATAGTAGTAGCGAGCGATAGTTATTAAATAGCAATATTGATAATTAGTAAACGCACCTGGCAGCAATACGAGGCGAACCATGAGTCGTTCTTGCGACTTTGACGTTTACGCGACAGAGCAGATTAGGGGAAGGGGAAAGGGAGGAAACAACGAGTAAAAGACGAGTGCGACAAAATTTTTGGTCGTGGTCAGGAACATGCGACATTTACACATCGAGTACATTTAAAAATGTTTTACATATACGCCTCGTGCCGTAAATGTGTGATCTTCGCTCGTTTAATTTGCACCTGTTACTCGCGTAAAGCCAAATCCAAATCAGGCATACGAGCACGAACGAACAATTTGCTTCAATGAATACGCAAATACGCGTCGTGGATTCGCGATGATATTCTGAAACCGAATTTTTTTTCAATAAATAATCCCACAGAGCAAATTAAATATTTCTAATATTTTAATGCGTATAAGACTTTAAAGCGTGCGATCAGTTTCAAAGTTTGCTCACTAGAACTTCAGAACTTAGCGATATAAGTAATTTAATACCACAAAGAAATGGAAATGGAGCGATATAATATAATCGACGTTGCTCTTATCTTATCTATAAAAAAATCTGCCATTAAAGACTGTAAATCTAAGATATCCTGATATACTTCAATGTGACTCTTATGTATAGTTTAATTTTATCCTGTGAGATCAGTATTGCATGTTTGATACATCGATAAACGTGTTTTCTAGTCCCTCGTCTCGTTCATACGCCTTACCAGCTTTAGCTGCTACTTGCGCAATTGCGCTTGCAACAGAAAAGATATGGAATAAGCGCAATTGAACTAATACGATTATGTGTAATGCGCTTTGGTATCTCAATGTTATTTACTCACATGCAATACCATGTTTTAATGCAGTGCAAACAATTATATGTCAGGAAAGACATCCCCTTTGCAGAGCGCAACGTTAACGGTGTAAGCAGTATCTAGGGTACACCGCGATATGAAATAAAATTAAATAATTAATATATATCGTCATTGTTTTTTTATAACATAAGGTAAATGTTAATTATATCTTTTTAAGTCGCTAGGAGCAACCAGCCAGCAGGTTTTAACTCCATTTCCCTCGGTAATGTCTTTCTATGATGGAAATGTCACGGCGAAACCTTTCACCGAGTTCGTCGCTGACATCTGTGGTAATTTTATTTACAACAAACAATAAAATAACATCTTGCAAAAATTCAAATAGCAGGGAATGTTAAATATCAATTTTACATCATTAATGGAGTATTTCTTGATCGATTGAAACAACATACAACTCTACATAACAATTTAAAATATAAAATGATAAATATATATATATATGTATATATACACATTTTTCATAGTGAATAAAATGTATCGTATCAATGTCAATATTAATATCATATCAAATTTTAATGTATACTTTTGATCATTTTGAATATTCATTACATAAAAATTAATGCACTTGCAATATTAAAATGATCAAATTTTCAAGGATATCTTCCATTGCATTTTTCTATGAAAAAAATTTCATTTAAATTAAATATTTATACTTTTACTTTTAATAAATATTATTGTTCGATTATTTAACGCGCCCATTTGACGTTCCGTCAACACACGTGTAAGATCATTACGAGTCGCCGGTGCAATCGAAAGGAGCGTCGATGTGGGAATCGAGATAATTTTGTGCGCGGGACCATTTTCCCAGTCTTGACATTAAGATCCCGGCATCGATTTTGCAAGATTCGAGCTTGTTGCCGGCACGAGTCACGGGAATTCAAAATGGCTTTTCGCCGTGTAGCTAATAGCTACCTAACTACAAAGTACATACAGCTCGACCGCCCATTTACGGAACAGCGTGTGCTCGTCGAAGATCAAATACAACAATAGGATTCCTAAGTGTTCGGAGCTTTGCTTTTGCACTCTCCTGTCGTTCCGGTTCACGATTATTCGTAGTTGCGCAATCGCGATTGTTAATGAATAATGATCGAGTGGCGTGCTCGATCGTGCCGTGTGCACGCGTGAGCCTTTCTTGCAAGGTTTGTGTGACGTTCGTCGAGACAATTTCGTAGCGGGAAACTTGCGCAGCTTGAAATTACTTGATAGCGGCACAAAGTCTCGTAAAGCGGAATGAATGAAACGGACCGACCTAATTAACCGATCTTTATAGCCGCCTTACGTAACAAATATCTATGTATGTATGTGTGTATACATGCCTTGTGCCATGTCAATGTATTACATAATTTTATTAATATATTAATACTGTCATTTCTCAAGAATATGAAATTATTCCACTGTTGGATAATATTCAAATTGTCCACATAATTTCGCGATCTGCGTGTCTTATAATGTTTTAATATTAAATTACCAATTCTCCCAATTCTGCGTTAAAAAAGATTTGTCGACATTTTATATTTTATTCTCGTTCTGATATACCTCACTTCGCAGATAAACATTAATATGACTAGAGAAGCACATACTCTTGCAACATGCATTCCCAACAATAATTTTATAAATTCATTTCGTATCGACTGCATGTCTTTTAATTTTCTCTTCTTTCTTATATTCTCACGGAAGAAGAACGTAACGCACACCTTTTGTTTGCTATTTATCAATTAAATTACGTTATTCAAAATTTACGCTTCTCGACGGTCATCTCTGATCTCTACAGTTGCTAATTAATACAGATGGAAGAAACGACGTTTTCATTCAGTCAGTTTGAATCCCGCGTTACAACGGCGTCGAGAGGAATAGCCGCCTCGCAGGGGCATTTTGTGCTCGGCCGTTGCACGGCTGAAGCGAGCAAAAGACCGCATCAATGAATTGTACGATCTTTGTAAGATCTTTGTAAGATATATTCTTGAATGAATTTAACTTAAGTCAAATGAGAGAGATTTCTGAGAAGAATATACACTAAGAACGATCTTTATTCTTGGCAAACTACTTCATGAAATATCATCCATAGAAATTGGCTACGTGTATATTCGTTTTGTGTGTGT